GCACGGTGGAGTAATGGATAGGTTGAGGAATCGGAGAGCCGAGTTCGAATTCCAGTCGAATCAATTACATTCACTTACGTGCTAATACCCTTGGGAAAGGTGCGAATCCCCTTCTTCTCCCTCCAGATATGGGTAAATAGCAGGACAGACTGGGTACTATAGCCTTGGATGGCAACTAGTCTAGGAGAAGGACAATTCTGAATTCAAAACCTGCGGAGGGTTGTTTGGGGACGCTGTGGCCTTCTTTCAAAAAGTGTTGATGGTCCTGCACGAAACCTTCAGCACTATAATCAAATCTCATGTGCTATACATGCGGGTTGGGGACCGCTTGTAAATTCCAAATTCCCATGAAACTCCAATATTGAAGCCGGCTCAACCCACCTCGGGTAAATGCCGTTACAAGAACAAGAAGAACTGTATATTTACGTCCAGGTTCTTACACTTTTCTTGCCAGATATACTGTTATCGAAATGTGAGATAGTCAATAAAAATATCTTTCTTCATAATGGGGCCCTTAAAATTTCAATTGTCTCTTCCTGATGTTAAGTATATGTGTTCTTTTTGTTTCCATTTTCTTTAAATCTTCGTCGTTGCTTACATGTTAGATCCATGAATTCCCAGCATCCTTCTGTAGAGCCACATTTCTGTCGGCTTACGTGTCTTTATCTACGAGGAGATGGTCCAGCATTCATGGTCATATAGGAGGACTGATATTATATATAGTTCAGTACTCTTTTCTTTGTTTCTAACGAAATTTTCCTGTTTCTTAATACTTTACTTACCTTTTGGAAAGCATCTTTCTCTATTCCAAAGTGCCTTTGGATTCTGGTGTCACACTTCTCGTTCTCTGTTAAAACACTTTCCAGATTTTTACTTGTTGCATTTGCTTGATTTTTGTATTTCCTGTTCGTACTTTGCATGTTGGGTTTTTCCTTTTATTGACACTCATGCATTCCGTTTTTTTAGTTTTTTTTTTGCAGTTGATGTTTAGTCCTTTCTTCGCGCTTTTTTCTTCACTAGGTGTTCTTATAGTTTCCTATCTGTGTCTACTATCAACACTCTGTCATCTGCACATTTTATGTTGTTAAGATTGTGGTCGCCGATAATGAATCCTGGTAGAAAATCTAATGCTCTCCGAATCACTGGTTTTAAATTGAGGGTTTGCCTTCGCGTGGAACTGTTATAGGTAGAGTCCAGTTGGATCTGGTATTTCAATGGGAGAGAAGAGACGGATTCATACCATTCCATCCGTTAATCGTCCAAAGTGAACACAATGTGTCTACCAGTTGGAATTTGAACTCGGCTCGTCAGTTGTGTTTGTCGTGCTATTAAACATTCGTCCACTGCCACCTCCTCATAGATAGGAAATCCTAATTATGTCCACAGACACTGACTGATAAAGGAAATCTCGAGCCACGTCATGGGGGCTACTCGGTTTCCACTTAAGAATAAGTGGTTCCTAGATTTGGACCCTATAATGTTTGGTAAGTCTATTCCGTTTCTGCTTTTATTTTGGGTGGGTTTCAACCGTTTCTTCATAATTGGGAAAGAATGGCATTTGAAAAACAGTACCATTAGGAACGGATAGAATAGTGAGCAAGATGCCTACTTGAATACACTTCAGTTTTCTTATGTCCAGACAATGTGTCAAGATGTTTATATATATATATATATATATATATGCCAGTAAATGTAATTAATAGTTAAAATTAATAATTAAAAAAGCATTTACTTAAATAAATTGTATCTATAAAAATAACATATAAACAGAAAATATATTAAATAGTTGTCCATTGCATTATATATATATATATATATATATATATATATATATATATATATATATATATATATCAATCATTAAATGAGAAGGGGAAAACCTTTTATGCCGACATCGAGGAATTTTGTTAAAACAAATGCCGGATTTTTATTTGGAATCTCGTATTTATACACACAGAACTACTGCTGACTTTGATCCGTCTTAATGAAATACCCTTGTATATAATCCGTCTTAATGAAAAATTTTAACAAAAATAAGGCTATGCGTTCAAATTTGAATTGAGATCATTCTCAAATATTCGAAAATCTCTCGACATTAAGGGAAGGAAATGAAATTACGTAAGTGATATTAATTTTTGACATATTGTTAAATGAAACTGAATTATTATTATTATTATTATTATTATTATTATTATTATTATTATTATTAAAATAACAACGAGTTAACCATTTTCCGTTCATTCTTTTTATTTAAAATCTTTATGGACCTACATAAATATGTTGGATTGTTTAGAGTTATTGGCCCTGGTTAACTGTAATTGGCAAAAAGTCGCCCTACAAACGGAATTGACAAAGTTTCCAATAATAAACGAAAGGAAAAGACCAGAACAAAATAATACCAAGCAAACAAAAGTGGGCAAAGCTACAGTAACAGGGCAAAAATTCCACAAAGTAAGAACGTCGTTAACAAGCAAAACGGATACAGTCAATTTATTTTAGCGTTCAAACTTCAAGCAAGAAAAAACAACGAAATGGCGGATAAGACGGAGAAGAAGTTCATTTTTATTGGATAAGAAGAAATCCCAGCATGCCTCTGTATGATCTGTCGATAAATTTTGGGAGGTGGGTGTTTTTCCAATCATTTCTACTAATGACTGGAACAAACAGATTGAGAAAGGAGCATTTCTCTTAAGAAAGTAAATATTGAAAAGAAAAAAGTTCATTAAACATTAAATGACGTCACTTAACATCCTCCATAATTTACTGAGACATATCATTTTGCCTGATGAATATTTATGAGCGTTTCTTCCATTTAAACATTTTGAAAAACTAGCAACATATTTTATCTTCCGTTTATAAACACTTGTTGCAAAATAAAATCCTTACATTCGCCTTGATAAAGTCCATCAGAGGACGAAATGCGTCGGCTAAGATAAGTTTTCCTTTTGTCTTTAATTCATATTGTCCTTTTACAGATATATGTTTAGATATATCTGAAATGTTCACACACACACATACATATATATATATGAATGTATCCATATGCTTTTCTATTTATGCATTCATATAAATATGTATTCACACACACAAACACACACACATATATATTACTGCATATTTTGCATTTTTGTATATATTAATATGCATATTATATATATGAATATGCGTGAATCATATAGCATCATCAATGTCCATATACATACATCTATTCAAGTGTATTTATAATGTATTAAATGTATGTGTATTTATATCTATGTATTAAATGTATGTGTATTTATATCAAACAGAAACAAATTTCTCTATACATTATATATTCTTATATTATTTATAGTATAAATTCAATATAAATTTATATATGTAGCATTAAATATAACTTACACATTTCATATATATATATATATATATATATATATATATACACGCTATATTTGATGGGTACACGTCATTGACTAGACTTTCCATTTTATTTTTCAAAATGTGAAATTAATACCAACCTGCCTGTACATAGAAAGTCATTGAAGAAAACTTACCTTACAGATCGAATCTGCATTTCCTTATCCAGAGAAACTACCTTTTAGCCAGGCCTCTGTGGTCGAACGCTAAAGGACGCCCGGCGAAAATCCGATTTCCCAGGATGAGAAATATATATGCTCCTTCAATGTCAATAGGTACATTATTTTTTATAAGGCTTTCTATGTCTAGGCCAGTGGGTATAAATTTCACTGTTAAAAATGAGGCAGGAATATTCACTTAAACACGCGTTATCACCGAAATAATACTTATTGTAAAAAGAGCAATGTCGATAAATATCAATTGATGGCATTATATATATATATATATATATATATATATATATATATATATATATATAGGCTTTGAAAACAACGTAACGCATTCTTTGAAATGGATCTTTTTCGTTCAACACTTCTTTAAAAAGATTCGTTGGAATGACAATAAGCATAACGGCGAAACTGAAAAAGATGAACACTAGAATTTAAGGAGCCACGACTAAAATAAATTTATTAAAAAAACAAAAAAACAAACCAAATCGGTGTAAATATGAAATTGTCTGTCTATATAAGACAGGGTGTAACTAGTAACAGTGATCGCTTGACTCGGTCAGTTTTTGAGTCAGAGATTGGGCTTCATTTAAATAATAAACCTAGTTGAGCTCCCGAATATGTTGACGGGACGTTTAGGGTGCTGCAAAAAGCTCGGTCGAGTAAACATTTACGGTTTTTGGAGGCTGTTTACATCAAACCGACATCAACCGACTTTGTCTAGGCAGAAATATAACTTTTTTCGTTTTCTCTGTCTCATGGGGGTGGGGGGTCGTGAGTAATTCTTTCTGTTTTATACTTACTAGGGGATTATTTATACTGAATTGTAGGTAGTCTTTCAATGTCTACCTTTTTCAGTTTCGTCGTTTTATTATTGTCATTCCAACAAATCTTTATGAAAAAGTGCTGTACGAAAAAGGTCTTTTTTAAATCAATGTGTTCCGTCATTTTCAAAGTTATATATAAATTCTTTGGTACAAAACCTTAGTTTATGAGTGCATGTAATATATAAATATGTATTTATACGTAAAATTGCATATATCATTTCGTATTAAACAAAAACCTGTATATACGAAACGAAACAGGTTTATGAACATTTGCATATTTGTGTTTTTTCTATTTACGTAAAATCCCAAGAACTTTTAGACTGTTGAAACAATTTCCTTCTTTTGTTACCACATTATTTCGGCTGATCCATTCTACAGCCTTCAGTCAGTTAGAAAAGAGAAGTATTTTTTTTTCAAAGAAAATGATGGTTAATGCATCGACCAGTTTGTATCGTTCTCGGTCGAAAGGAAGCGTTCAATTGGCCGACCAGCTCCCGGAATGGTGAAAACTGTTTTCAAACTTATCAATGATAAGTTTGTTTGTTTCATCTTTTAGAATTTTCAAATTGTTGCTGAAAGTTACTTTCTGACTTCATTTTCTGCCCTCTTCATTTTATTCTCGATAATCTAAATGAAAGAAAGAAAAAAAAATTAATGGTGAAAACTGTGACATTCCATTATACTATTATTATATATTCAGTGTCAATCTATTATTATAGAGATTTTCCAAGTGTAGCTTAGATCTGGCACAAGACTGAAATTTGGGGCACCCAGTGAAGGTCGAACTTACTACGCAGTCGTAATTATTCTACCGAGACAAGCTTGCTAATCCATTACACCACCTCGAGGTGCCCCACTATTCCATTATTATATGTTCAGTCTCATTCCACTATTCCATTATTGTATGTTTAGTGTCATTCCACTATTCCATTATTATATGTTTAGTGTCATTCCACTATTCCATTATTATATGTTTAGTGTCATTCCACTAGTCCATTATTATATGTTTAGTGTCATTCCACTATTCCATAATATATGTTCAGTTTCATTCCACTATTCCATTATTATATGTTTAGTGTCATTCCACTAGTCCATTATTATATGTTTAGTGTCATTCCACTATTCCATTATTATATGTTTAGTGTCATTCCACTATTCCATTATTATATGTTTAGTGTCATTCCACTAGTCCATAATATATGTTCAGTCTCATTCCACTATTCCATTATTATATGTTCAGTTTCATTCCACTATTCCATTATTATATGTTCAGTTTCATTCCACTATTCCATTATTATATGTTTAGTGTCATTCCACTATTCCATTATTATATGTTCAGTTTCATTCCACTATTCCATTATTGTATGTTTAGTGTCATTCCACTATTCCATTATTTTATGTTCAGTGTCATTCCACTAGTCCTTTATTATATGTTCAGTCTCATTCCACTATTCCATTATTTTATGTTCAGTCTCATTCCACTATTCCATTATTATATGTTCAGTGTCATTCCACTATTATATATATTTTTTCATTTTTGTTGCTATTAGTGCAACATTCCAGCAGTGTCGAACGGTTATTTTAAAACCAAGGAATTCCTCCATGATGACCATCAATCTTTACGCGAGAAATCTGGGGAAATAATAAAATCAACAAATAATGACATATTTAAAACTCATTTACTTATAAATACCATTCCCTGTTTATTTTTGGCAAATTCATTGATCTTTTTGCTTTAAAAAGAATCCGCATCACGCTCGACCTTAATATTCAAAAGGAAGAAATGGCTAACTCTTTTGCCTTTTCTAACTTTTTTTTCTCGCTCACATAACTTTAACCTCTTAAACCTTTTTTTACTCAGTTCTTCCATGTTCTCTGTGCCTGTTCATAGAACTGGCTTGGGAGTGGTAAACGGAAGCAGGGATTGTCTCTGCTTATAATACTCTATTAATATCGCTTGTTCACAGTTTATTGTAACAAGTGAAGGAATTGGAATTATTAGAAAGTATCACGGTTGCAATAAAGATAAGATTTATCAATAATAATTTTTTTATTACACAAAAAATGGGTTATTCTGTAAATAAGTCTAAGGCATACAAGGCATGCGTTGCATAGATGGACCCTTGGCCACTGTATTTTAACTGGTAGATCATTCAGCCATCTTCTTGTGTACGTTTAGTCTGCTCTTTCGAAACTACACAGAAATTCTTTCTTTCCTCTTTTTCAATTTCTCAACAAGATCAAGATAAAAAAAATAGTGCAATCGAATTTGGCCTGAAATTAACTCCCGATTGCACCTTTTGCCACAAGCATAAACTATGCACCATTTTATTCAACATATTGAACTTGATCAGGAAAAATATGATTCCAGTTTTTTTCCTAACCAGGCTTCCCAGCTATGACGTCATCAAGATGACTGCCAAGTTATTCTGACTGGTTGTGTTCAATTAAGAATAATTCCTGAAAAATTTGAGCTCAAAGGATTATTTACAATTTAATGTTACAAATTAAATTTGAAAACTTTTTTTCTCGTAGCTGTACATAGAGAAATCTAATAGTTTTTTGTTTTTTTTCTGAGAATTTCTCTTAAATATAAAAAAAATAGGTATTTTCATTTGCGTCCTGCCTCAACTTATTCGAATATTATTTTAGTAAGAAATTGCCTGTAACATTTCATGTTCAGGGAATTACTATTTCAACTGCACTAAAAAGGAAAAATAAAAAAAGTACAAAGGGAATTGAGGAAAACAGTAAATCATTTTTAATAACGATGCATTGAACTGCTATGATGACGACGAAGAAATAGAATTTTCTGTTTAAAACCAACAAATAAAACGACACAATTTGTCGTAATTTTTTTTTACTTGTCAGATTATATTTGCTCGTAGATAAATGGATAGTAATTTTATTGATGAATTCTACTTATAAATTATCCAAAATTGAAAAAAAAAAAAAAAAATGAATCGTCTGTGTAAGCTAGTTAAAATATCAATAGTGATTTCACTTCGGTAATTTCCGTGGGCTTTTTTCGTTATTTCTCGTAATTGTTAGCAAATTTAGATTAAGCGAAACAATTTTTAAAAGGAATAATCACGATTTTGAAGTAACTTTTGATCGTATCTAAATAAATAAATCATGTAAAAATTTAAGAATTTTATTCATTTCTTTTAATATAAAAAACACTGTGTACCGATTTCGTTAATTCTCGTAAAAGCAGTTTTTTTGTCATTTTTAATAATTGCAAGCTTATATAAAATGCTACATGATATTTTTATTAAATATTCACCCAATACTAGGCCCAAGAGCAACTCAAGGTAGAGGGTTACTGAAAGGTGATATATGGACGTAAGAGGACGAAGTAAGTGCAGATGATGAGAATATCTAGGATAGACTTGAAGAGGTTCAGATTGTAAATGATCGAGGAATAGCCTTCCGGGAGTCTGTTTCATAAAGCAGAGGTTCTTAAAAAGAAGATATCTCAGTGGAACTTCCTCCTTATAAATGGAATACATGGGGATTGTTCGATATGAGACATTTTGTTTTAGTTGTTTTATCATCGGCCTATCAACCAAGGTTATTTGACCTATCAACCAGGTTATTGAAAGCGAAAAGATATTTTAGATTGTAATAATTTTTTTGGAGAGAATAGTTATTTACTGATATGAATAATACCAATCAACCCATAGCTGGAGGAGAAGAGGTGAGTTTATACCGTTCCACGTAAGCGAATATAACAGACCCGAATGGAACTGGAACTCGGTTCTCCTTATTTCCAATTTCGAGTCGTTATCCATTACACCACCTGCACATCCAAGCTTACTGCACTTGGTATTCCCAAGCAGTCACCCATCTAGATACTGACAAGGTTCGACGTTGCTTAATATCGGTGATCGTGCGAGAGCTGAAATTAATCGTAAGAGATCGAGTTATTTTTTTTATAATTTTACTAAAAAGAATTTTCTGTGATGTTTTCCGATCTATGATAAGGTTTTGATCGAGATCGAGGTTTTGCTGGATGATTGGATTTAACATGATGATGATTATTGTAGTGGAATTAATGTTAATTGAAAACGATTAACATGAGTGTTACAAAATAGAGAAGTTTTTATTTTATTTTATTTTTACAACACAAGAAATGTGGAAATATCCGAGAACATAAATTAATCGTTCGTGTTTTGTTTTTCTTTAAAGTCTCTGGGAGTCATAGAGAAATATCAGCAGCTGCGTGGAGTTAAATGTCAAGTTGAGAATTGTAATTTGATACTGTTCATTCAGCGGCCAAAGGAGCAGGCTACTGGTGAGATACAGTTGTGTTCATCTTGCCGGACAAGTAAACTGTTCTGAAGCGTTTTGAAAATATTCTCATTAGTTAAATGTTCCGATGGGATCACACATACGCGCGTTAGCTTCTCAAATTTCTTATGAAGCCACCGCATATTTTTTGTACTCCCGATTGGTCAAACACTGTGGCCGAGCGATTTATTTTTATTTTTTTTAGAAAACGAGCATAGGCGGTTTTGATATATTAAGAATTGCGCCAAAATTGCTCCGATTTTTCTCGAACTTTCCCTGGCGGGAAATTGCATCATTTCCTATACTATAGTTCATCGTTTTATTGCGTGACAATCATATATGACGGTTTGAAGAAAGAAATAATTAAGATTAAACAGTAAAGAGACTCGAGGAAACTTAGTTACTTGTCGAAGAGAATATGAAAAGAACGGATTAAAAATAATAATTAGCAGTTATAAAATAAATTTCGAGAAAACTCTAGGAAGATTCAAACCTGCATTAAATAAAGTAGAATTCATTAAGATTTAGTAAAACTATATCTTCCCCAACTTACTCAGTTGCCCCCGGCGCAATATGACAAAGATTTATAGTCTTCTAAAATTTCGCAAATTCCAAAGAAGAATTCTTGCTATGTTTATAGAAAGTACTATTAGTCTCCAAATGTTGATAGTTACTAAAATTCTACTCAGTGGTTTAGTCTGGCAGCATTGTTACCCGACAAAAAAAATGCAATAAATCAAAGCGAGAGGCGCACAAACTTCCTTAAATAAACTAGACAAACGAAAAGCCAGAAACAGACCGGAACCAGAGAGAAAGGAGACAAGATAGCTGAGCTCCGTTATATCCCACCACTCTCGCTGCAACTGCTTCTGTAACTAACAGACGCAAGCCCAGATTTACGAGAGCGTCCTGGTTATGACGACAAACTACATCCGGTAGCAAGGCCTCTGATCAGGAGGTTTTGAAGAGCGTGGAACCACCTCTTAATTGTAGTTGTTCCCAGGCCCACTTTGACCTGGGATGGTGGTAGCTCCTGTTAGGTTCCAAACTATGGAGAAATAGATAACCCCACAAACTTGGGTCAAAACACTATGAAAGTTTAAAAATACATTTTCACAGTAAAAATACTAGCAATACATTTTAATAGTAAAAAATTACCAGCAATATATTTTTGTAAAAGAAATTAATCATGCTACAAAGAAAATTAAATTTCAGCATTAAATGATCTATAAGGAGGTGATATGTCGCTAAATATACAATAGCAATAGATTTACGATGATATAATTCAAGGGCCAAGTCCCATAAATTATCTACAATTTACTGCTAGAATAATTTTCCTGCCGAAAGATCGTCAACTAGGTTAAATAGGACGATTAATAATTCTTTATTCATGATATACTTTAAAATTTTTCAATTTGTTTTCATTGACCCGTTGTTAGTTATCAACAAAGTTTGTTTGTGCTGTAAAAGTGGTTCTCAGTTGACAAAGAATTTACCACGTCTGCAAGGATTTTACACCTGAAATCTCCGCGGAATCACAACGAAATCCCCGTAGAATCTGGTTACATCTTAGCTTGCTGATATCAACAGGCGATGGCTGTGAAGATCAAAACCACCGCCCAACAACGAGGCCAATGACACTAATGCTAATAAATCCATAACGATGTTTTACAGAGATATTCCTAACGTTATTTTTTTATAAGGAACTGTGAATGGTTTTGAAATCAACGTTAGGAAGTATTCACTATATTTTGAACAAAGGTTTCACGACTATTATACTTCGATTCCAACCAAAAAATAGAGTTTTTAACTACATTTATAGATCACCCTTAAGCTTCTTGTTATGAATTAGATCAGTGATTCTTAACCGGCGTGCCGCGGCATATTAGTGTGTCGCGCGAGCCTCTTAAGTGCGCCGCGAAATATCCTCAAAGCATACATATATATGTGTGTGGAAGTAGTAATGGTAGAGAATTAGTATTTCAATAAAAGAATAAGTATTAAACTTTTTTTCTTTTCACTATTCTTCGATTATGTTATTTTAAATACTTTGTTTCTGCTGTAGCATACCTACGAACGATAATAGGTTATGTCCCCATTCACATAAATAAAGTAGTAAATACTGTATGTTGGTCTGCAGTTGGAGATTCGTCTCCAGCTGTGTTGGTCAAACTCTCTGCCTCCGGGAGAGGGGATCCCCAGACGAAGGGCAGAGTCTCGTCTCGGGAAACAGCTACCCGACCCCGTTTTATACGGGGTATACTGGGAATACTCGGATACTTCACATTAGATTCGGCCTTGTGACACATCTGACCGCGTGGGTCGGTTGGTAGATATCCTGCAGTCGGAGATTTATTGTGGAATTCACTTGACTCACTTGTAGCCGTTAACTATTTCTACGCGCTGCTGGCGAATCTTATATGTGTTGTTCTTGTCCTAAGTATTATCGTTCATTACCAACCTTCGTGTCATTATTCTATTCAGTAACCTACCCTAGGTTACAACAGTTTCAATAATCATTTTTTAAAAGTATTTTAATTTTTTAAATTTAACTTTGTTTTAATTTTCCTTTATTTGAATAAATGAATATTAAACCTTTTTCCATATAATTGTATTCAACATCCTTTGTTTAATTTAAATCTTTATAATACATGGTTTTATTTCATAACATAAAGGGTATACATAAATGTATACCCTTTAAAAATTTTACTAAGTGTGCCGTGATCTTTTCATTTGCTCCTAGGTGTGCCGCTTCTTAAAAAGGTTGAGAAACACGGCATTAGAAAGTAGGGTGGACTAGATTCTCCTGTCTTGGGTGGCAACCAGTTTAGAAGAAGGAAAACATTGAATTCAAAAACATAGAGAAGGTAACAGGAAAGCACTCCGCTACTTTTCTCAAGGGATCATAGCAGTTCGCAGATAATAAAGAAAAGGAAACTGTGGAGGACCATTAAAAAAGTAGAAAACCCAAAGAGGATCGAATTCGCGAGAAATAACATGCAAGCCTTGATTTTAACTACCTCACGACTTATATCTTATTTTTATCACCTAAAATATTTTTTTCCTAAAACGTTTGAGTAAAATAAAAAAAAGATATTCATCAATCTTATATTGGTCTGGCATAAGGCCAATCTGTTTAGCACTTCATGAAGATAGAAATCGCAAATTTGCTTATTATTGCTCTACGGTAGGAACATACAGACATAAGAAACAAGAAGTAAATGTTAAAAAACGAAAATAATATTTACCCGGGGTTTCTGGACTGTACAAAATACTTTCATCTTCATTACCGTAGGCTAAAATAAACAAATAAATATATTTATATACATATATAAAAGGTGTTCCACTAACTTGAACTGATTTTAATGTGAATTAAGTTTAAGCGTCTAATGATTTTTCTTTTTCTTTCTGATTTTGGCGGATATTTGGTCGATATTATTTTTTACACATAATTGCCATTACTTAAAAAACATGATCCAATAGAGACATAAAAAAATTTCACCAATAACACTGATTCATTTACTGCTGACTTTGATCCGTCTTAATGAAACACCCTTATATATAATCCGTCTTAATGAAACACCATTTATAAAATTAAAAAATAATTATATTTTCAAAAGATCCAGTGGACGAACATGTTAATCTAAACAACGACAGAACTGATAATAATGACCCATCTCAAAATTTCGTACAAGTTTTGGAAGGCCGAAGAATGAATAAACTAAAAAAAATGAAAATACTAATGTTGGCAATTTTTTTAATATATATTTTTTCTTTTCTTTGATCATTTTCATTAAAATAAAGGCTCCTAAGTCATGACTATGTACGAAGCAAGGTCAAAAGTCTCGTGAGCCGACAGGAATCACTCTTCGCCACTATTAAGTGTCGAAAAAAATAGCACCATTTGGTCACATGACACAGCCTCTGCTAGACAATAATGCAAGACACTGTTAAAAGCGGACGCAAGCGGAGACGCCAACGCAAGAGATGGTCAGACATCAACATCAAAGACTGGACGGACATGACCATGCTGGAGCCACCGCCAACAGATCATCAAGTTGTCTGTTTATTTTCTGCCTTTACCCCACCCCCCATTTCAACCCAGACGACTAAAGTAGTCAAGGGACTGATGATGATAAAATGTTAACTGAAATTTTAACATGAGGGAATTTGGTCGTAGGGTTGCTGTGCAGCTGAACATATAACCATCTCCCTCCATATACATCGGTTGCGTGCCAATGTCTGAGTCTCTGTGAAGGATCTTCCAAACTATGACAGCGATGCTGTCAGACCAGTCTTTCTTCTTTTCTTTTTTTTTAAACCGTTTTACCCATAGCAAGACGACAATACAACTAGACCGCAGGGGGTTACAAGGAGTGAAAGTGAAAGAGATTGAGAAGACTGAAAATGGAGAGGATTGACGTAAGGACAAAAAAACGAACGGGGTTCAAGTAAACAGAAGATGGGGATTAAAGTCGCATTTACATTTTTTGAAGATTGTAGTTATCAGGGAAGCAAGAAATCGAGAGGGAGTCCCACAGGTGGGAAGTGCAAGAAAATAAACTTTTAAAGTAGAAATGACGGTTGCATATAGCTAGTTCAAGCAAAACGGTGGGACCTAATTGTCAATCTAGTAACGCGCTTAAATTCAAGTAGTCAGGGCAGCCGCCAGCTTCAATTTCTTTTCCCTAAGTTTGTTGGCTCTTATGACGCGTCCGTATCATTTCAACTTTATCTTCTTGACGGTGGATATATCTTCCAATGAGCCTGCTTTTTAGTTACATTATTTACATTGTTCGGACTGTTGTCCTCATCCTCGTTGCCATATTCACGACGTTTCGGCCATTCTACGCTACGACACTTCAGGTGATTGGAATTTCGAAATGAGCCGTTTATTTCATCCACCGGGGCAAATTGGTCTCGCTCCACATGCCATACCTCTTCCGGATGTCTCAGTATCAGTTATCTCCCTTTAACTCAACTCTCCAGGTTTTTGCTCACCTAATGTATAGTCAGGTATTGAACTCGCAAGTCACTGGATTCAACCAACGCTTTTATCCACCAGGCCATGTGGCCTTGAGAACAATCACCTGAAGAAGGCCGGAGAGTACAACGGCCGAAACGTCGTGTATGTGGCAACGGAGATGAGGACAGCAGAGCGAACAACGTAAATAATGTAAGTGATTACAATACCTCATCTCAGAAATATAGACAGCCTGCTTTTTGTTTGAAGATATGCGGCATTGCATCATTTGAGACGCGGTCTACGTCAGAGAGATGCCTAGGATAGTTCTGTAGAATCTCATTTCGAATGCTTGGGAACTTCGCTGTAATTCTGCAGTTAATATTCCAGATTCGCAAACGTACAAAAAGACTGACAAGACCAATGTACGCAATAGTATGTTCTTTGATTTCAAGCAGATACGATGTATCATTGCGGCTTTAAAAAATGGAAAACAACGCATTTTTACTACTATGTGTCAGATGTATAAGAAAATGCGATATTCTTCCTTTACCCGATTGGAGACGGGTACGTAGGCGAGTGGTTAGAACGTTCGCTTTCTGACCCAGGTTTGAATCTAACCATGGTCGATTTGTCACGAAGGTGACTTCTTGGTGTTACTAGTCTGGAGGAGGCGATTCCCGCGTTCGGCACATTTGGAAAGTGTCTGAAAACAATACCACGGTTGACCCAAGCCTTGTGAGTGAAATTGGATAACGAAACCCTTGGGAACCGTCGGTGGTTGTGCTATAACGAAGTCACAAGTCATCGTGACCGAGTATTTGAGCGTAATACCCTTGTTCAGACTGCCAACCACGCTAGGTAACACGCTCCCTCCCAGAAACTGTAACTAAGGTCCGCTTAGCATAGTTGCAATATAAACCACAGGTGGGCTCTGTGGGTGTTGAACAAACACAAATGTGCCTGAGCAGGCGCCTGTAATGGGGATTAGCTAGCTGCCCCAGTAGAATGGCATTTTTGGATTCGAGTTACGTTACCTTACTGGCGGGGTAATATGTCCCAAGTCTCCCAGCTGATGACTGAAACTACAAATAAGAATTATATATGCACCTTTTAGCTTATCCCTATAAACGTTATTTTTAGTGGGTACACGTGTTTTAGTTACTATCCCTTTCTTACTAAAGAAAAATTGCGCCTCTGAATCGAATCTGTATCCTCTTTTTTATCATCAAGGAAACCGCATTTTTAGCCTAAGCGTACCGCTACCAGATTGGTCACAGAGTCCACCTTAGAAAGAGCAATGTCGGAATTACTTATTTAAAGAATGCATATATCTCGTTGGGATATGGCAACTCGAGGTAGTGTAATGGTTAGCAAGCTTATCTCATTAGAACAATTACGACTGAGTAGTGAGTTCGATTCCATATTTTCGGCTTTGTGCCACATCTGAGCCAAGCTTGGAAAATCACTATACAGTGTAACCCGGATATAAGAGAAACCCGGATATAAGAGAGATTTTCTCTGGTCCCAAATTAGAGCCTGTGTTAATGTATATAAAATAGACCAAACCCGGATATAAGAGACTTCTCCGGTCCCGACAACTCTCTTATATCCGGGTTACACTGTATCTCGTTGGGATTTCTAAGAATCTAGATCTACTACAGTGTAACCCGGATATAAGAGAGTTGTCGGGACCGGAGAAAAAGTCTCTTATATCCGGGTTACACTGTAGTTTCAATTTCGTACCCGAAGCGTAAATTTTTAAGGGATTTCTTTTTTTAACCGACATTATTTCTTATTACTAGAGTGAGTAAATATGTTTGGGTTGCTGTTTCTTTTTCTTTCTTTTTTTATTCTCTTAAACAGTGAAATTAATGGCAACGGGGATAGTCCGACTAAAGGAAAATTGTGCTTCCTACAGGAATTGATCTGTTATTCATTTCTTTCTATCAGGGTAACTGCTTTTTCTTTTCTTTTTTTAACCAAAGCGTGCCGCTACCAGTTTGGCCACGGAGACCAGAGTAAGGTTTGAACTATCTATTTAAGGGAAACACATCTCTCGATGGAACTTTTACGAATCTATATCTGTTAGCTTCAGTTTCGTATCCGAAACGTAAACAATAGTAACTTTTTATCCATTATTTCCCATAATCTTTCTTCAGTAAGACTTTTCAAGGCCGGTTGTTATTAATTTCACTGTTTAAGAAAAAAAAAAAAACCCCCCAAAAAAAACAAACAAAAAAAAACAAGGATAGCAACTCAAACCCGTGTGCCCTCTAAATAATAACGTTTTTAATAATTAGGAATAATGTAGAACAAAAAAAACGTTAAAAATTACACGTTTTTCTATACATATTTGGCTAAGATAAATTTTAATTTTTAAATATTAAAAATCTAATATTTTTAAAATAACTTTATTTAAACCTTCTTATGCCATAGCTCAGTTAAATAGGCATTTTTCAGGATAGAAATAGCGTTCCATCATGAGAACCTAAAGGTTGAAGGATTGCTACTTCAGACTCAAAGTAATAGTAATATTATTATCTAGAATTTTATTACTAAAACAATGATCCTCAACCATATTTAATTTTTGACGAGTAATTCTTTCATTTTAATTTCACTTGCTTTATCTATACTAGTAGGATATGCAATAATATATTGAATTTATTATTATTAGATGAAATATTGTCAACTATTAGTAATTTTTCGTTCAACTTAATTTCACTTGCTTTATTTATCCTAATATTAGTAGAAATATTATCTTGGATTTTATTATTATTAGATGAAGCATTATCAGCCATTAGTAATTTTTTTTTTTACTAATATTTCCTTCAAATTAATTTCACTTGCTTTATTTATACTAGTAGTATTATTAGTAATATTATCTTGAATTTTTTTATCAGTTGAAACATAGTCAAACATTTTTAATCTTTTTATTAATATTTTTTTCATGTTAATTTCAATAGCTATATTTGACCTAGTAGTATTAGTAGTAATATCTTGAATTTTTTTATTAGTTGAAACATAGTCAAAGATTTTAATGTTTTTACTAATATTTCTTTCATATTAATTTCAATAGCTATATTTAACCTAGTAGTATTAGTAGTAATATTATCTTGAATCTTATTATTATTAGATGAAGTATTGTCGGACATTTTTAATTCTTGATGGGTATTTATTTCACAAATATTTTAGAAAATTAAATATGCCTGAAAAATTTTCCATGGTTCACATATTAAATAAATATTGTAATTAAAAAAATATTTTTTAATTTCATGGCATACTTTCATTTCCTTTGAAAGAAAATGCTGACTTTGCTAATTTCTGTTTACT